ACATAGCTGTAATCAAATTGAATATGTAGCTTTGTGTGTAGGGATTTTTTTTTGTTTGATTTTTAAAAATATGCACAAATATATGCTTGTTTTTTTAAAAAATACAAAGTAACAAACTACTTTCATAACTTATACCCCCATCATTTCTTCCAAGCTCCCTAATTTCATTTCCTCCTTTATGACTGTTTGAATGGAAATACATAGATATTTTATACAGTTTTTTTCAGTAACACTATATCATAAGCGCTTTGTCATAACATTACCAATATTTTGCATACCTCATATTAATGGTGGCATATTAACGGTGATAGTAGCTACCATGTTTTGAGTGAATACTATATATGTAGCATGCAGATTGTTAATCTTAGATAATTTCCATTTGACTGGTGAGGGAACTGTAATGACTAATAAAATGTTGATTAGTTCTAACATTGCTCTGCCTCTTCCATGGAAACCTCACCATAAAGATATGTGACAATTATTAACCAGTCTTCCCCTGTTGTTGGACGCTTATGGTTTCAAATTTTCCACTATTATAAACAATGTAGTGACAATTACGTGTGTGTGCATTTCAATTTATTTCCTAGTGAAGATTATTAGAAGAGAATATTTTTAAAGTTTTTGACACATATTGCCAATTGCCTTCCTGAAAGGTTATACCAGTTTACAGGGAGTGATTAATTCTAATGGGAAGGAAAAGAGAGAAGCGGGTGACATTTCACAGAGGTGACATGTGAGCCAGCTCATGCAAAATGAGTAGGGCTTTGCCGGAAGTGAGGCATAGTGCTCAGAGCATTCCAGACAGGAAAGAAAGAGCGAAGGCACCAGGGCACAAGGGAGCCCTTGCCCCAAAGGAGTCAGTCTGTACCCTCTGCTTATTTGCCACCAGAAATCTTCATCATTTGTTTTATAGTTCGCAGGAAAGAGAATCGGAATAGAGCCCTTCCCTATATTTAGAAACCATCTCAAATGAAAGCTCTTTTGAAGTTCTGAGACATTCATGTTAGTCTGTTTCTTTTTTCCTTTCCCCAAAGGGAGAACAAATCCCCTGAGGATTCGGTATAACTGGGAAATGCATGCAACCTCTCTGGTCCCATCTGCTTCCCTGAATTTAAAGGGGGCAAGGACAGTACATTTGACATTGGCCCTAATGTATATAGGATCCATCAGCAACTGTCCTTCTAGTTATATGCAGTAAGGGGAATGTCATCAACTTCTTGGATTTGATATTGATTTTGTTTCAATCTGCTTGATAAAATGGATGAAAGTTACTAAAGTCTATTTTTTAATTTGGGCTAGGTGCCAGACACTAGGGAGTCAAATTCTCCAGTAACTAGAGCTGTAGCAGATTTCAGCCTTTATCTGAGCATGGTGTGTCTGCAGTGCCTTCTTTCCGGGCTGGCACAAGTGCTGAAAGCCAAAGGGGTAGAGGTGACAGGGTAAGGGAAGCCTGCCGTCTGAGCCACCCCCCTCCTTTTCCCCCAGTCAGGGCAGTGGAGGCTTCCACATGCCACTTCTCGCTGGTTCTGTAATCACATCTGGAAATGAAATATGGCCAGTAAGCCCCTTTGCATCATATTTTGAAGAAGGCAACTTATAAATTATAAATTAAGTAATAAAATATTACTAGAGTTTGCAAAGTACCTTCAGGACAAACAGGATTTTCTTTTTGCATCTGATGTTTATACTGCTGGTGTGAAGATTTAGTGTAGGTGGCATTTATGAAGTTTACAGAGTGTAAATTTAACCACCTTAAAACCTAACTATGAAATAGAAATTGATGGAATTAGGGAAACATGTGAGTTACAGACTGTTTTAAAATAAATTGTGCTTTTCTGCTTTTAAGGAAGTGTAATAATGGGAATAGATGAAGTGATCAAACAGATGATCTGCTGGACCAGAATTAATTGATAGCTAAGTAATCTTTCTCATTAGCATTGTCGCACGAATATATTAGAATGGCTCTAGACATAGCCCAACAAAATTGCTGTGAGCAGTCTACCAGTTGTGTCCTGTTGTGCAAATGAATGTCTCTGAAGGGAGCAATAAATGGAAGTGGCACTCCTCATCACTACCAGCAAAGCCTTAAAGGCTCCAAAAGACTACTCTCTCTCTCTCTCTTTTTTTAAGAGAAGGAAGGGGGGTGGGCAGAGGGAGAAGGAGAGAGAGAGAATCTTAAGCAGGGCTCCATGCCCAACATGGAGCCTGATGGGGGGCAGGATCCCACATCCCTGAGATCATGACCTGAGCCGAAATCAAGAGTTGTATACTTAACAGACTGAGTCACCCAGGTGCCCCAAGAGTACTTAATCTCTTAAGGTTCTTTTTTTTTTTTTCCATTTTAAATAATTTTTTATTGTTATGTTAATCACCATACATTACATCATTAGTTTTTGATGTAGTGTTCCATGATAC